CTTTCGTGAGGCAATTTTCTGTCGAGAAAATAATATCTCTATTGAAAAGGTTAATATTTGCAAGCAGGACAGCCAACTCATATTATGCCCGTTTATGAGAAGCGTATAATTTTCTACAAGTTAATTAAATTACAAAATAACTGTTGATTACGATATGAGTTATATTTCTTAATCGAATAAATTGTAGACTACCTACAAGCGTCTAATTTCGCCAATATAGCGGTTAAATTTAACTCAATTTACGTTCCATTTTTTTGTGATTATATAAATTATTTTGACATAATAATATAAATAATTATATGAAGTATTTTACTATATATGGTATATAAATGTCAGTAAAAAAGTATTTTACTATATATAAATCTTGTATCGTGTATTTAAAGAAAGACAAATTTCATATATATATGTATATACATATATTGTATGTATATGTTTTTGTATTTTAAAATATATTAATTTTTTTAGAAGCATAATAACACAATGGATTATAGAAAAAAACAAACATTATAATTCGCAATACGTATCTTTTTTACGGCATTTTTTGGTCTTTGTGTCGGCCTTCGTAAGAATTTCTAGAATGCGGACACAGGTACGGCTTCGTTTTGTCGTCACGATTGACGTGCAACAAGTTCCGAAGCCATCTGAGATTTAACCGCAGTAACGGAACCCAATAGAGACCCGCCCTGAAATTTCTCCTGCGGTAAGAAACATTGCGCGAGACTTTATGAACTTTGTGCGCATCGGTGTAATATCGTACGTAATCACTCTCACGAGAAATGTGGTTTTGAGTCTTGCATTTTCTGCGATTTATCCCACTTTTCTGAGAGAGAAACACTTTATGAAACTTTATGTAAGATCGATAACATACAATTTAGACATCGAAATCCTTGGTTTTTTAATCAGGTAAAGAAAATATTTGAATATAAAGATAAAATATATTTTTAATTTTAATTAAAAATTTAATGTTTAATTAGTCAATTAATATTGAATTTTAACTTTGCAGATCCATTGATGATATAAATGTATGCGTTAATAATTTGGCAAATAAAAGAAAATAAGAAAAAAAATAGAATTTATGTAATGTTTAAGAAATTTATGATAAATAGTTATCAAATAAATTAGTAAAATAATTTTGAGATTCTATACAATTTTAAATGTCAGTAAAAAAAATTGTTTTTAAATGTTTTAAGAAAGGAGACAAGCTTACATAAAGAGTTTCGCAAAATATTCGATGTTTAAAGATCATCTTAACGGATCGAATGGGTCTTTAAACTTTATTGCTAATATAATTAACGTATTTAATGTGTACAATAATGTGTGTAGTAATGTGTTCAAATATTTTTTTATCAAACGATATTATGATTCTCGGCCGTAATTTATCAGTACCGTCTGCTGCTATTTGATCGGTGTGATAACCAGGTGCAACAGATGTTATGCTCTCCAATACATTGGTGACACTTACATATATAGTATTCGATAAATCATGCATGCAGTATCTCGTGACGCAATTAAGTAATCTGAAGAAGCTTCATTGAACAATAAAATATGAGAGAGATATATATACCTAAATTTCTGTTGCTCCGTAATTTGATTAGTATTTACAATGCCATCGATAAACATTAACTTGAATATCATTTTGTTTGTATAACATTATATTCTCAAAAGACTACAAATATTATATCACATTTAATGTATTAAATTCGATCATGGTATGTTGGAGTAAGATAGATCACTTTTCTAAATAAATACTCGTTGTATTGCGTATCAGATGCGTCATGATCCTACGAGTGATTTAATTATTTTAAATTTATGCTCTGATGAAACTTGTTATTCGCGCGCCATATGTTATGTTGCCATTAAACTCTCACATTTTCTGCTTAATTGTAAGATACATTCTGAGTGCGTCAGAAAAATTCGATAAATATTACGGACGTATATCATAGTACGTAGACAAGCGTTTGTTAACAGATTAGTCATCGTACATATATACGTATGTGGTTAAATGATTCGATGAATCACTTCGTTGCGTATTAATCGTGGTCGTGTAGTTCGTACAGTTAATCACTGGGAAAAAAAAATCATGCGACCGCATATATATTTATAAATTTTTATTGAAAATCTTTTAAAAACTTTTTTTTGATAGCATCAATTTATTTAAGAGCGTACAATAAATTATAATTTTTAATATTTCGCAAGTACATCATTTTTACAAAAGTTTTGTTTTTCATTAAACGTGACAATGACGTAGAAATAACATTTGGAAGCTCTCATGTTTTTTTATTCTGCGTTGGGCAATTTTTAATTATAATTCTATATCATATTCAAATTTCCGTTGAGCTGTCTGAAAAATTGTGAGGTACGTATCATTTTTATCTATCTGCCTATTATATTATTATCTATATCTGTCGTATAACAATTGGAAACATGCAACAGAGTCGCACGAAAAGACACGGGCCGCATTGTTTTCCAATTTTCTTTCGTTTCTGGCCGTTCTCAACGTTATTTTTAGCGAACTTCCTCTTTTTCCACGCTAAATTCGAGGAACTCGGATGCGCATCGGTCGACAAGATAATTCTTCCTCGCTGGGCACGTAACAATGCCTATCCCTCGTCTTCTCTGAACAAAGAGTCAAGAGTGTATGCCTATTATTCGTGCACGGTGCGCCGGAGTATTACGTAATCGCGTGGCACAATTACCGGGTCAGACAAACGCGCCGTATATGGAAAACGAAGTCGTGACACAAATCTCGATTGTGTTTCATGTATACGCCGGTAATTCTCGCGCATTATACGATTTACACAATTTACTTTCGATGATTATTTCAGACGCATGGTCCAAAATACGACTAATTAACACCATGAAAAATGTAATTATAATACTAAAAATAGATTTATTTAGGGAAAAAGAGTAATGACTCGCAGTTTTATTTAATTTATAACACGAAACGTATTTTTACGTAAAAAATAATAAATTAAAACACACAAATTGTAACACTTGCGCTTAACAGAATCAGATGAACAAATAATGATGCTCCTGTGTGTGTTTTCATAAATCTTACACAATTTTCATATTCATACAAAACAGAAGAATCATTTCTCTTTCAAACAAATTGTCATACCAGCAAAATACCACACCACGTCGCTTTGACCGTAAGATTATGCGTTTACGTCGTTGACGTTGAAACATCTTTAATCTTTTGAATCGCTGAAGAAGGACCTGTATATAACTTCCGAAACGTTCGATATTTTTTTTACTTTTACATATATTTTATATTTTTATTTTATGTTTCTTAGTAATATTGTAAACTATTAATTAAAAAATCTTATTACCGCTCGATTTAGACCATTTTTCTTTATACTTTGTAATAAATTAAACATTATATTATAATTTTTACGTACATACATGCACTCTTAGTACGTAAAACGTGATAGAATATGTAATACATATAGAAAGTTGCAACAGGTAGCGGGTTAATGTACCGGAATTTTCAATTATCAACACAATGCTAAGCATTTCCTTAATTGCGTCAGTACCGGCATTTTTAATGATTCTTAATGCGGATCGCAATGCGATACTGTCGATACGTTCACGCATGTCACTGAAATTGCATTCTCACGCGTGTCATTTACTGCAGGCGCATATATCGTTATGCGTTCACGCACCGATTTCTATCTCGTTAAATAAGCATCGGACAGTTGTCTGTGCCGCAATTAAATCGGTTGAGTTCCTAACTAGGAGGTCCCTATCGAATTTCACTCGACTTACCCAGTTGGCGGTCGATTAATAATTATCCTTATTTCACATTAACGCCCGTCAGGCACAGCTAAAAGCGTTTAGCCATGCGAGGTGAATAATCCGCTTAAAATAGCACGTTTATGCACGCTCAATTCGCCGCGAGATAATCGCGTCATGATTTTAGACTAAATATCAATCATATCTCTTATGCGCCTAATTAATAAGTCCTAATGACTATGTCACAAAGCACATACCGTTGTGTGTGGTCCAGAGTGTTAAATCATTGAGTGATATATGACTTAGAACTGTTGTCGCGATTAGATCTTATTAGTATTCTAAAATAAATATTATATATAAGTATAATATATATTTATTTATTATATATTTATAATACATGTTACTGTTATAATTAATATTAAGTAAAAAAATAGTCAAACGAAAGATGTAATATATTTCTTTAAATAATAATTTGAATAATAAAGTTTCTGGAGCTAAAATTTTTCCTAGAAAGATAATAGATTAATTTAAAAGTTTTCTAGTTAAAAGGGCTATATATGTACGAGTATATATGGTAAACTTAGAATATAAATATAAATCCGGGCAGACATCATTTCTAGTACGCAGTTGTAGATAACGCTGTTTCATAGTGCAGTGATAATAACAAGAATGCAAATATCGTTATCGCATGTGCGAGGCACCGGTGCATCATTCATACATTAAGCATTTTGCACATCGTACACGATGTAAGAAATTCAGATTTTCCGAAACTCATTGTCACGCACAGTTGCATAATCGTAACGACGACAAACGTAAGTTATCTTTATGCTCTTTTCCGTAACTACAATTAGCTATGCTATTATAATCGACGTGCTGCACGAAGGATGCTCACGATAAGACTGACGTCATTGACCGCTTGTCGTTCACTTGGAACTTGCATTAGTCAGCGAACTTACACGTTTCCTTTGTGTAGGAGGTCGCCCCGAGGGAATCCATGTAAAATAATGCGAGAGGCTTGTATATACGCGAGATATTCTCGTTAAAGAGGAAGAGAGAAAGAAACGCGAAACTGAAACTCATGTGAAATACGACGTACCGGGTGTCGTGAAACGGTGCTTTAAACTCGAAGTGACTTGCTCATCTTGCGCGGGCTTTAAATGCTCCGCGAATGAGTCCTCGCTCTTTAACGTTAGATAGATATAACATTCTCACAATAACGTCATTCTGTTAACAATAAAAATTTTTCATTTTGTTTTCTTTCTTTTTAGGCACATACCAAAAGCTAAAGCCACCACGATGGCGGAGACACCGGAGCTGAAGCGTATCGCGGAGAATACGAAGATACAGAGTAACGTTAAGTATCATGCCGAATTCGAAAAGGCGAAGGGAAAGTTTACGCAAGTGGCGGATGATCCAGAGACTCTCAGAATTAAGCAGAACAGTAAGATTATCTCGAATGTCGCTTATCACGGCGAGCTCGAGAAGAAGGCGATCATGGAGCAAAAGAGGACAATGACCGGAGAAAACGGCGAGCAAATAGGTAGGTGGTGAATTCTTCGCCAGTGTGTTTTGCATATAACAGTTTTCTCTATTATAGTATTATACTTTTTACATTTGATAAAATGGGAAATATCATTATATATTTTTATGGTATAATTGTGTTGTTCTATCGTTTTAAACTATAGCAATAATCGTGTAAATCTTTACTGCTAAATCAATAGAAAGGCTAATGAGAGTATAATCGCCGTTAGTATTGCGAAATTATAAAAACATATATTTATTAGCAATTAAAAAATGTATTACATTACTAAACGTTTCGGCTTACATCCGAGCCATCTTTTTTTACTGCTAAAAATATCGTAAGTTCGTTGTAACAAAATTTGTTAAATGATTTTTAACAAACTAACATTGGAAAAATGATTAAAATGTAATTTGTGATTTGATTAAATGATTGGGGATAATCTAAACATAAATTTATAAATTGGGAATCCTTTTTTATTTATATGTATATCAATGTGTTTTATAACAAGTATAAATTATGCAATTTTTTATCTAACTTTTTGTTTTAAAGTATCCTCTGTTAGTAATCATACATAAATATCTATGTTTTTAATCTTAATACTAATATAATTACATGTTCAATTTTTAACATCTTAATTAACGACGATTTACATAACAATATTTATGTATAATCATCAAATTGTAGATTATGTTATACATTATGTATCAATATATTCGTGGATTTGTTACGTACTTTGTTCGCAGTTCATTCAAAATTGTGTATTAAAACAAACATAATCATGAATATACACGTATTGCTGCAATCAATCCACCAAAACGACGGCGTAAAATTCAAATAAAAATTCAGATTCTTACTGTATTATTTTTTTCCATATTCATGATTCATTGCACACTCATAATACTACCGTTCATGGTGGGCAGATCGCAGAATGCTTTCTATTGAACGTATCGCTAGCCTTTTTCGTGCATTGTTGATATAGAGTACGTAGAGTACACAGACGGTACGATCGCACCTGCGTCGAGCATAAACGCCAATCCGCCGCCTGCAAGGACGGCGAATTCGCCGGTGCAGAGGACACCAGGTAGGATCGCTGATTACGATCCCCTTAGCGAAGCGAGGCCGAGTCCCTATTCCGCAAGGCAAGCTGCTACCACAGTCATTTATACGAGCGACAAGGGACCAGGTGCGTTTACCTTCGCGGCTACAATCGTTGCAGCAACCTTTCACTATGTAGAGACGTCGCACGATATTATAATATAGAATAATTTGAGTAACTTGTAGAAAGGCTATATAATATTATATAACATTAATATTATCATTATTGTATGGATTATACAAGCTATGTGAAATGTAATGATACGTTTTGGATAAACGAATGTAATTTACATATTTAATACGTAACATTATTTTTGATATTTGAATTTTAATGCAATTAATGTTTATGATCAGATTGATATTTAAGGTTTGTATTATTTATGTCCGCGTAAATGATTATACATTCATAGCTGTATCAGAAATATGATTGTATCTTAATAATTAAGATTCGTGGAAGAGAGGTGAACGAAGAAAGTATTTAATGGTGTATACTGCGATGTTTTTTTACCTGAAGTCGCATTCTACAATTTATTTTACAACCGCGTAGGTTTCGATAAATTGTGCTTTAATCGAATTGTTGTTTAGAAAGACAATTTTAGGAAGATAAACGCTCTTAGTTATTCCTATTGTAACGCCAGACTATATTACAATGAACGTGAAATCGCCTAAAGCATTATTGTCGCTCGTCAGACTTAAACGCTCGCATCATTATGCTTTTATCGTCGTCACACACGATTCATCACAAAGACAAATCGTCAAAGCAATTTGCACTGGAATTAATCGTTGCGACATCACCACGTACACCTTGTTGGGAAAATAGAAAGTGTAATCGTCTTTGTTTAATGTTCCTCATTCTGCGGTTCCGTATTCGCTCCTTGCTGAATCCACGGAATAATTCATGTGGCAGATCACAGGATCGCACCAAGTAACAATTGCACTAACTGTAGAACAAAAGGATGCTTATTACAGAACGAATTATGCATTTCTAATAGTGTATACAAATGTAGAAAGTTATTTATAATAAGTTATACGTCGCTCATAAAAATTTGATGTGTTTGCAGTGACGAATCCACCGACACGAAAAATCGGCTCGGTTGCCGACATCGATCCAGTGAATGAATATTACGGATCGTTAACGCCAGCCACCACGATAAACAATAATCAACATCAACCTCAACATCAATCACCGCCACCGCCCTCCAACGTCGGAGTAAATATCTTTTTTATTGCTTATTGTTGCATTGTGTTGTCTCTTATGACTTATTTGCAATATAAACTTATGCGTCTACTAATCCATGAAAAAAATTTCATGGAAAGAGGTCTTACAAATTACACTTCTTAAATAAGTTTTTAAAAATAGTGTAAGTAAAAATAATGTATATATACTTATATATACATATATAGTACGCCAAATGGATACACAGTTTTACTTTTTTTTTCTATGAAGATGTATTTTTCGCAGAGAGTGTACAGAGCGATGTATGACTACGAAGCGCAAGATCTCGACGAGGTGAGCTTCTGCGACGGTGATTTGATTGTCAATTGCACAGCTGTCGATGAAGGATGGATGACCGGATTGGTGCAACGCACGGGACGACACGGCATGCTACCAGCTAATTACGTTGAACCGGCGCAGATTTAAATGTTTTATGTCGAGCTTCCGTTTGCTAACTGTTGCCGCCACTTCGATCAGAGCGCTTAATTAGGGCGCGCTTTGCCGAAGAAAGAGTCGACGTTAAAAAAAATTACGTGATACTCGAGATAGCGCTTTTATTCGGCTCTTATTATTCGGTCAGAGTAAAGTTGTTTGATCGAAACGGCGCACTGTCATCTAAAAAAATCAGATAATTAGAAATTTTAACTACTGAAAACTTTTATTAAGAATCTTGATATAAATTTGAAATTTTATCTTGATATCAATTAACCGTCATGACATACATTTGGCTAAAGTATTCCAAAATATGTTGATGAAAAAGGAATAGAATATTAAAATTACTTTTATAAATACTCAGAGACGTATTTCATGAATGTCTAAATTGAGTATTCTGGCCTCCTAGATGACAATATATAGCTTCATATGTTAGAATTCCTTGATGGGACCAAACACACACTGCGATAAATTGTGTCGATTACAATTAAAATTCTGACAACTTGTGAAGCGACATAAGCCTTGACCAACAATTAAGACGAATTAAGTATAAGATATATCTTCCATGAATGCAGTTTTCTGTAAAGCGTCACTTTTTTTGCTATTACGTACAGTTATTATTCCTTCGTTTCGATATGTTTTTAGAATTTAAATTATGCAATTAGAATATAAATATAAAAAAAATAATAATAATTTGATTCAATTAACGGTTCTTTACGAGCCCTTTTTCTGTTAATCATTATTTTTAACGAAAATTTTATGTTATTTGTTATTCAATATAAACTCTGACTAACACATTAGTGTCGATTAGACGGGTTTTTATGTTTCCGACCATTTTGCATTTATATTTACTATTCTTAATATTATATATTGTATTATTCTATATTCTTGTCTTTATATATAATAATATTCCTCTTCAATTTTTTTTCAGAGATGTTCATAAAATAATATTTTAATCATAATATCTAAATTTTTTTTCTAGTAATAAAACATAGAACGAAATTTTCCCTTATATTCGAAAAGAAATAATACAATGTGCCTTATACATATAGACTGCTAATTAGGGTGGTATAGATTTGTTATCATAATGTAAGGTGCATAGGAAAGTGCATCCGTATAGGATAATCAAAGAAATACCAATAAATTTTTGTTTTCCGCATTAATATAGCTTGATTTGATGTAAAAAAATAATTGATACAAATAAGGCCTTTCTTCCTAAAGATAAAGCAAGTTAAAAAATATAATGAGGAAGATAATATTATTAACGCGAAAGATGCTGACACTTGCCTTCCTTTTTAATAAAATATAAAAATTATCGTTATGTACCGATTTTGAATTAACGATATTAATATAAATTAATTAACCAATATTTTATTTCATAGTTCTTAAGTTTTATTTTTCGTATGATCCACATATATATATATGCTTCACATTTCTCTCCAAAATTGCATTTAGTTGTTAATGTAAGTTATTTTATTATTCGGTGATTCTGAGGTTACACGAATAATACGAAAATTTTTGATAGAAATTATTTGAGATATTTAGTCTATTTTAATGTCAAGCGCGCGCACTTTTTTTCAAAAGCACAGTATTATCCGTGTTGGCTAACATGACTACTTTTAAAATAAATTTGTCTACTTTGGCTTATTGTTTGTTAACATGTAGTAATAAATTAAATTAATCGTTGACAGAATGTAATGTTTACTATCGCGAAGTGCTTTTTAGTGTCTTGTTATTATGTTTTTAAATTATAAATATCAAACTGGTTCCTCAGAAATGTATGTACATCCTATTTACCTGAATAGACAGATTATATTATGGAACGACGTCCGATGGAACTGTACAGATTAATGAACCATGTAAAAGTTATATAAGTAGAGTTACACGTGACGTCGTTTGACCTTTATGAACGAAGAGAATGATATTTTTGGAAACATGTTACTCAGCACTCTTATTATTAGATCGCTGATAAGAGGATTGCATATTTTAATTGCAAGATACAGAAATATATGTTAGCGTTGTGTTTAGACAAATATTATATTATCATAGCAAATCATAAATAATGAATATGTATGTTATGTAAATCTATGGTTCATTATTGGTAATTGCACTTTCTTTTATCGATGAAATTCCTTTCTTCATTCTGAAAAATTCCTAGTCTTCATTCTTAAGGTGATGCTGGACCCGCCTGTTTTATCATTACTTACTTACAATTAGTTAAAGACTCGTTTCTCTTAATTGCATTTACGGATGGAAAAATCCTTCTGCATAATTAAAGTATCGACAATAATGAATTGCGCTAGCTACATATTTCAATACGAAAAACGGAAAAAAAATTTACAGTTTCGTTATCAAAAATCACAGAAGCCGATAACGAAACTGTAAGTTTTTAATTTTCTTCCGTTTTTCGTATTGAAATGTAGCTAGCGCAATTCATTGTTGTCGATACTTTAATTATACAGAAGGATTTTTCCATCCGTAAATGCAATTAAGAGAAACGAGTCTTTAACTAAGTAATGATAAAACAGGCACTCCAGCATCCCCTTAAACAAACAAGTCTCGCAGAGACACATATATATCATTTTTTTACCACAGTTTCTATAATTTATTTTTATTCGCATTTGCTCAGTTTAGTCATAAACTTAATATTCACAAAAACGAAATTTTTATCCGTTTATATATAATGTTTATCGTTTTGTTAAGTTGAACATTATGTATTATTTCAGAATTTAACAAATGATTGTTTTTACATTTAGTTTTCTAATATGGTATATTTATATTTTGTTTTAGATATTATAGACGAACATTTACATATATCTCAACACTACGTGATAAGTTTTAATATCACACGCGATGATGGTAGAATACTTAATACTGTTTGAAGAAATACTGCAAATTCCACGAATGCTATTGGTATTCAGCGTTATCACAAAGTAATCAATATTCATGTAACAGATGCTCGTGATTGAATTAACTGTGAAATAACGTTATAAATAAACATTAACATGACGTAATTTCAAAATCGAGTAAAACATTTTAGTATGCAGAGATATAAAATATGCATATTTATTGAAAGTAATATAAATACAATAAAATGATAATTATCACATAAAATAGTCAAGATCGCTGCATCGAGTGCATGTTTGAAAGTCTCTGAGCTTGGTCCATCACAAGATTCATCATCAATCTCGGTAACTTACGTGATCATATTTGATCGTCAAACCGTTAAATTAACATTTGGAAAAGATTAAAGACTAAGATATACAATTTTCAACATTAAGGTATGTTGCCGAGAGCCGTAGATGTATCGAACTTGATCGACTTCGCAATTCGATCATGTCAAGCGTACATTTTTATTTGTAATATCATTCTGTCTTTCTTAGACTTCATTTCTTTCGTAAATTCATAATCCAGCCCAGATCGCTTTGCAAACCTTTCTAATATATCATAGAAGCAATTTTATATGCTATAATGAACACTATATCTCATTCCGTTAACATGAGATATTTCAGAAAGTCAATCGGTAATTCATCAATATTTTGACACAATACTGCACGATACAACATAGAAGCATGGCTTGAAAAGATGTGGATAATATAGGTATGGTATTTCTTAATATATAATGGAAAAAAACTTAAGCATTAGCCTGACTAATTAGACCACACTGTCTAATCGTACGGTGGAATGTGCAAATATAAAGAAGATTTATGGTTAATGATGAATATTAGCGCTTATTAAATGAAATAGAAGTGTTATAAGCAGGAAATTTGTCATTTATATTGATGTTAATCACATTCCAATATTATCTTTATCTTTTTAAGTTCGTATTTGATAGATAGAAATTGTTACAATGTCAAGAATTTGTACAGTTCATTTTAATTTCCTGCTTATATAGATGTGCCTTTAACACATTTGTCGCAAAAATTAAGATGTATTTAAGGCCATATGGACTTGATTTTGAATAAGCACAATGCAACTTTCGAGCGAATGCCATTTTTGGTTATTTTTTTTTTGGTAACGAAACAATGCGACTTTTAGTAATATTCTGCATAAATTATACGATAGCAAGATGAATAATATAATGCCGTTATAGAAGCTATATAAATTTAGGAAATAATATAGATTAGCGCGTACAAATCTCGATGGAAATAATGAGTTTTATCGAACGTAAGGGATAAGATAAGACATCTTGCTGTGCAAGGAGATTACAAGCATAGGTAACAAAACCAATGTTGCAATAAATCATCGCCATCATTGAACAGCAATTTCGTGCCAGGGATTGGAAGAATACGTATATTTTTGCTTCCAAAAAATCTTCAGAAGCATAAATTTTTTTATACGATCTTACCGCCGTTCAAAAAGATTCCCTTCCCGATTTCTATGTAAAACTTTACAAAAGACGCTGGACGAGCCTACTCAAACGTAGATTTCGGTCGAGTCGAGAGAATGTAGAACGCGTGACGATGGTGTCTTCAGCAAAAATTCAGCTTAACGGTTAAGCCATACGCGGATAACGCTAAATGTCAGCGATCTCATCTTCCTCGTCCTCGACTTTCCTCTAGCGAGTACGTGTAGAATGCTAATGTAATCGGACGAGACGACGTGTGGCGAAGGGTCCGCGTGCTGGCAGTGTCATTTTGTCGTAGCATGAACGAATCGTTTCTTTTTTCTCTCGCTTTTTTTCTTTCTCCCGCATGTAACACCCCCGGTTGTACACATTTTAGCCTGCCTGCTAATATCCGGCGAGGTCGGCGAACGTCTGATCCATCTCGTCGGCAATCGCTTTGTATTTACAGCGCTCATTTACCAGTACGTCTGCAACGAAAAGGGAGGGAACGTGGTATTAGTGGACGGTATGATGGTTAATCGGATGTACATTTTAATATTCTTTTTAATTGGAAAGAGAAAGAGAGAGAACATAACGATCACATAATCTTCGTGGTTAATGCTTAGGGATTGGACGATCATTACATTTGTGAAATGGCTTAAAGGGAGAATAGGATGAAGGAAAATTAACGGGATTGATCCTATTATCTAAGAACTGAGAAATTCACTTCAGAAGATAAAATAGTCTGAGTATAAATAAGATCAAAGTCATTATATACGGATAAATATTTATAGAAATATATTTATATAAATAAATATGTCTTGTAGTCGATTTTAACTTGTTAAGGATATGCTTCAGGTGTGAAAGAAAAAAGGCACATTAGATTCTATATAATGTTTTATTTTTTCTATTTTTTAAGAGAGAAGTATTAGAAACAAAAATGACCTTGTACAATTTTTCGACAATTTAAAAAATCGCGAACTATTTATAAACTATTAAAAGATCATTAAAAGATACTTTCGCAATTCGATAATATTTTATTGACAATACAATACATTGGGTATTTACTGTATTTTTCGTTTTGCTCTACTTACCGCACGCTCAATTACTGAAGTATAATGCAATTAGAATTGCGCTTATACTTTTGATCCAAGCGGCGTTTTCGAAATAAATAAATAAATAAATAATCGCGGCATAGATGTATATGCACGAAACTGGAGAAGTAAAATCGCTGATAAATAAAAAAAAGAGTATTCCGAACGCGGAAAGTATTTATAGTATATTAATTTTAGTTACGATAACGAAAATATATGCGTCAGATGGCCGTGACCCGACCGCGATCGAATTGTGCGTATAATGTTGATAATAATTACGGCTAAATAATTCGATAGCAGATGCAGATATCTGACAGCCAGATTTAACCAACCAATTCGGTGAAAGTAAGGTCCAGGTCGTCGCAAATGTATTTGTACTTCTCCTTCTCGTGGACGAGCTCGTCTGCAAGAAAACATGGTGTTATTAGAACGCATTCACACAATTACTGTATATTCATCAGTTGTACTTTGATATGTTCAGTATGAATTAAAAGTACTGATAATTTGCGTGAACTTTGATACAAGATAATATGATACAAAAATGTAGGTATCATGAACCTTCGATCCTTTATTAATATAATAGTGTGTGTACATGGAAGATTTAGTTTTAAGCTGTGTGAAAGAAGGTATATAGAAATATTTCGGCCTTTAGAAAAATAAAAAATTCTTTCAGAAGGCGTTCAGTTGGGAAGCTGCGGTTTGAGCAACGAGCGGGTTAAAAAGCATAGATGGGTAACTTACGGAAGATGTGTTAAGCGCAAGCTAGATTTGTAAGAAAGGCTTTCGGTATCTTTTTTCTTTTTTGTATTGAAGAGTTAAGAGGGTGGTTAGTAGCCGCGTTACACGCCATAGAGCTCGAAGAACGCATTATCTAAGCCATCCCCGACTTCCTTGAATTTCTCCTTTTCAGTCACCATCTCATCTGCAAGCATTCGCAATGTTTATTAGTTTAATAGGTAATTGCTATTTAGTTAGAGATTATACTACTATTGCGTAACGTGAAAAATGTTTGAAGAAAGAAGTGCTGAAAAAAATTAAAGTATTTAATATTGTTAAAATTAATATTTTAATATATTACCGCGCAAGAAGTAGGCATTGTGAATTAAATCAAGCAGGATAATGGTGAAAATAATTGATTTTTAATTAAATAACTTAAGGATTTAAATAGATTATGTGAATCTTATTACGTATAGCTAATAATAAGATTCATCAATTTACCCTGTGTGTGATGTTAAATTTCTTTTGTTAGATACAACAAACGAAATTTGTATCTAGACTATTCTTAATTCTGTAGTAATAAGTTTTTCATATATTTTCCTAACTAAACATACTTTAATAATTAGATGCATTAAACATAAAAATAGTTTTCATTGTTTTACGATGCAAAATCATTAATATAATTAATATTATGATTATACATATATATTGAAAAAATTTTATCAGTAAATTACTCAAATAATTGAAAAGGTATATCTATTATACAAAATTATGATAATTATTTTATGAGACAATCGTGAAGTTTTGATATTATAAATAGGGAAAAATTTGTCATGCATTAATATAGCAAAATCGAATTAAGCAAACTTACTCACCGTAAATAAGGTATACGTACCACATTTTCCTCCTCATCATGCAATTTTGTTACGAGATTGTCTAACAACAAGGCGATCACACAGTGTTATCGCGTGGAGAAGTTATACGTCGTTATGTTAACGGTGGAGGATTAATGTTAGCGCAGGTAAAAAAAAAAGAACAACAACACAACGAAAAACAAACGACACACTCTTTTTTCAAAATTAAAATATATATTATAAACAGTTTTATAATAATAGCAATATATAATAATCAATTATTATTACAATGATATTAGTATTATTATCGTTCCATTTACTTTATTAATATTAAGTAAATTAATAAACTAAAATTCTCTTAAACTCAAGTATCTGCGTTTCCGTAATTTTAGCATTATTCAGAAAGAAAAAAATTGTAGCTAACAAAAATCAACGATAGAACATGTAGGTTTCGTAGTTGTGCTTTTCGCATTATTGCTGATTTTTAATAACGTTTGCTCGTGGCGACGTTAACTTGGAAAACAAATGATTGCGATGTTTCTGGGTAGCCTTTCAATATCGCATAAGTTATTGTATTTTGGATTAGTTCATCGTCATCTTCGTATATATAAATAGATATGTTTACGAGATATTCAAAATAGTCTAAATTTCTGAATATAAATATTAGATTAACATTAATCTAATTGATCATACGTAATTATATTTAGAAATTGTGTAACAATAGATATGTTTACGAGATATTAAAAATAATCTAAATTTCTGAATATATATATAAATATTAGATTAACATTAATCTAATTGATCATACGTAATTATATTTAGAATTGTGTAACAATTAATACGCTTATTATGTTAATACTACATCAACAAAATATCAATTTGTATAATAGAAATCAAACTAATTATTAAAATTGAAGCACCTTCCATATATGAAAGGTAAAATATTTCTAGTTTTTCGTCAATCCCGAAACGCATATTCGATACATTCTACATCGATACAATCTTCTTCATGATCGTTCAATGATCATGCGAGCGACGATAATGTATATGTATTTATATATCGAAACGGGAAGAGGACGATGCACATTTCCACATCAAAAGGCCATCCAAGAATATATTGCAGGAAAAGTGCTACAAGAATAACCGTGACGGGTTACGACATCGAGGTCGAGGCAGTACACGCGACATAAATTACACTTTTCAGTAGAAACGAAAGAGAAAATTTCTCCATAGAATTAGTGATGCTCGATGGTGAGCGTGAAGTAGCAATAACATTAACGACAAACTGTATCAATTAATAGTAATAATAATAATAATAATTCGAGGCGAACCATACGTCCGCGAAATGGAATATCGGATATGCATTATTTCGACGATTAATTATTACTTCCAATCTCTTATTCGCTGTTACGTTCGAAACGAAGCACGTTCCCTGCATCGAGGTTTGACGTTGGCCGTGGTTAGTATTTATATCGTAAATATATACAGGCACGATCGGTAAAAAAATCTTGAAATGACTCAGCTAGCACGGGAAGCTGCACTGTGACGTGACAAAGTAGCCAGTTGCTTCCCTGTTTGTTATCTTAAGTATTATACGTTGATCAATTTTTCGTAGGCTCGAAGTTAAATCATTCTGCATACGTACAACACATACGTTTGCATAGGCCAGATATGTTACGATTATTTTATTATGAAGGCAAAAAAGAATTTGAATTATGGCAATACTACGTTGGTAATATGATCGCTACTATTTGACTGAATATTGCACAACGAAGACAAAATGTACTAAGAAAATATACTTTTAGAAAAATTAATAGGAAGGTTTGGCAGTGGAATCCTCTTAAATGCATGGTTATTGCATCATTGTCGTCTTTGCTTTCATCGGCGGCAATGAGAAGATGACGCGATAATCTCACTGTAAAATTAACAGAAGAAGCTGACGAATTTCTTCTCGCGCGAGCTGAGCCGCGTGGAATGTGGAACGTAAAATAATGTAAAAAGTAAATGAACATTCTGTTTCCCTCCATTATATGCAATCCTGCTACGCGTTATTTTGTACCGAGAGAAACACGCGCTAAATTCTTCGCAATGAATAGTGAACTGGGCAAATCAATTAAAAGATAAAATTTTTGGAAGTCACTTTTAAAAGGTATTCAACAACGTTTTGCAACTTAATAATTGTTACTTAACAATTATTTATCTTTAATGGGAGACTTCAGGTATCAGATAAGTCGAGCGCAGTTTACTATATAATTATATATGTATATTAAGTACAATATTATAATTATATAACAGATTATATATTGCATTTAAATATCTTTAACACATAAAACTAATACGCTCAAAAAAATTGGTTTCAAATTTTTTATCAAACTTCTCTCGATACAAATAATCCTATTCATTTTGTCTTCATTTTTCATATATTCTTCGCCTCTCTATAATACCTACTCACGTATTCCTCCCACGGCCAGTAATCGTTTTCGTAACGAATTTAAATCGCAACGAGTTCGAAGACGTCTCAAACCGGTCGCAGTCATGCCTCAATTTTTCTTCAATTAAAATTTAAAACCAGACTAAGCTAAAATCTAAAGCTAAAAAAATCAGATTTCAATTATAAGTAACTTCATATTATGTATGGAACTATCCTGTCGTCTGTCTTTGTCGCGTATTACTTATTCTTCCTCGTTCTTTCAATCTTTTATACTCTCTCTCTCTCTCTCTCTCTCTCTCTCTCTCTCTCTCTCTCTCTCTCGTATTGGTCCTTTCATTCTGTATCTTCCTTACTCTTCCTCTCACATACATATGCACATGCACACATTTTCTACTCTCTTCCTTTCAGCCTACATCAGTAACTTACGTCACACGCATACAAATAGACACGCACACGACATACACGCTTGAGCACATACAAGCATGTATAGTACGTACACGCACTGCGGATGGACGTAATGGAGGGTATAAGGCTAGTCTAAAGACTGCATTTTTATCTGTTAATGTTAGGTAAGGATGCACCACATACGAAGCTCTCGCTTCGTAACGGCGTATTTGTTTCTCATTCACTTCTCGTTGCCGCCGTTTTGCTACTTGCTTGCATTTATTTTCTTTCGATTTCTTTTTTCTCAATCTCTCTCTCTCTTTCTCTTTTCTTTCTCGGGTGTTCTCTCGCTTTCTAAACATTTTCGCGTTTATGCATTTTCGTCCACCGCGAAAAATACAATCTACATGTTCTGGATGTCATGCAGGGTGGCCTCCATCTCCTCCTGTAGCAATTTGTTTTTCTCTCTCTCGGCCGCAAGATCGTCTGCAAAGATCACTGGTTAAAGGGAAGTAACACACACGGCAAGCCACACGCGGGCGTAACATACTGCGTATCGGCGGTTAGAAGGGTAAATGCGCAAATAAAATACAGCGCATACACATACATATACACACATGGAAAAATAGGGTTTGCTTTACGATTGTCAAATCGCTAGATTCCTTATATATAATTAAAAAAAATTCTTCTTGGCAATGTAAGTTAAAGTAATAAATTCTATTCTAGTTAGGCAAACTGATTATAAATTCCAATGAGACTTAATCATTTTGACTCGAGTTTTCTGGATAGAAACATTCTTGCTAATTCCTTTAATCTCTTTAAAATTTAAAAACAGATTAAATTTGTATAAAATATATTCGTAATAATTAATTTTTACGGTATTACTTTGTTTACAACATCTAATATCGGTTCAAATTCTTCAAATACAAAGCATTGATTCTTTAAGACTCTCAGCTACTTGAATAGAAAATGATTCCTGGGTATTCTAAATATCAGCTTCTATATAGAAGCTTTTTCTGAATAATCTCATACATTATATATCTCAGATAAAAGATGTCTATCCATACTAACATAGGTCAACGAATTTATTTTAAAAATCTAGTTGAATTCGGATAAATCGTATTATTGAAGAGAATAAAAATAATTAATGTGTTCTGTTTTTGCCATATACGCACCTTCGAGCCTATCAACTTCCTTTTGGAGTTTCTGCACGGATCTCTCTGCAAACTCAGCGCGTGCCTCAGCCTACGCAAATGCAATACTTTGTCAGTCAGAAAATTATACTTTGCGCAAAATTATTCATCGATTTCAAAAAAAGAAAGACAGAAAAAGAAATTATTTATTTCAATTATTGTATGAAACATAATTTATTCAATAAGATTTATAACAGCTTCGCTTTTTTTTTTGAAATCGTTGAAATAATCGGTATAACTATCAATATTTCTTTAACTATCACTCCATGCAAGTAAAACAAATTCACGTCACACATGATTGCAGCTACGCTATGAATATGAATCTAATTGTAAGCCTTGAAAGGTTTAGTTGCGACACACTTTATATTGTACGATTAATATGCTCTCTCTCTCTCTATTGTCAAAAACAATACTCAACTTTACTCTCTCTTTTTCGGACAATACGTTCACTGACAAAAACTTACGACACTATTGATACGTTTGTATTTGTGGTATCTTATGATGCGATTTGTGAAGCTTTAAATTTCTATATGAGTCTCAAAAGTTTCACGCGTACTTTTTATAAATACTTTTTTTTTTACTTTTCGTGTGCAAATACACAATTAAATTAATTTTATATTTTAATAAAAAAATAATGTAATCAAAATGAAAGTTGAAATTTTCGATATACCATACATTAAAGGGTTTCTTTTTTCATGATAATCTTGATTTTTCTCACTTTTACTTACCTCTTTCAATTGACTATCAAGAATCTTCACCTGGCCCTCGAATGTCTCCTCTCGTTGCGTCGCCTGTTTTTAATCAAGCACAACAAAAAGACAAAACGAGCTTTCGTTAGTTCACCGCAACGCAGGAAATATTGTTTAGTTACTTCTAAAACAAATGGGGTCAGATAGCAAAACGATAGGGGCACGCGAGTTAATATTTTAGTGGCAAGACCTACGACGCGAGGATGGATCACACGTTAGAAAGTGCAAAGCAAGACACTCCCAAAGGATGTGTACCTCCTTTAGACGGGTAGTAAGGGTCTTAATTTGGTTCTTGTATTCCTCCTCGCGCTGGTTGGCCTATGTACATATTATTACGTAAATATTATTTCTCGTATGTGTAACGCGATGCTATATTTTCTCCAAAATATATAGATTATAAAATACTTGATCACACATAAAGATTAATTATAAGATACTTTAGAACGTTCAAAAAGGCCATCATAAAATTAATGCTTGATCCAATTATTAGCATGTATTTTCATCGACATAATTTATGATTTCCGATTAAATTAGGCGTTATAAAAACAATATATCATAATATACTTTCTATCCATAATATTTTCCAGCATTTTAGACGCGGATTAATTGATGATTAAGAAAATCATTATAATATAAAATGAGAATTGGGGAGGCGATATAATCTATGTGTGGAATTACGTTCCATCCTGATTACGTTGTACATGGCGCATAAAATAAATCATTTACCTTTTCCTCGGAGACCTCGAGGGACTTCAAATTATTGCCAACGACACGCAATTCTTCTTCAAGTTCGACAATCTTTCTGTAAAGTTAATTAACCGAATTAATATCGAAGTTTATTTCATTACAAGAGGAAAACATATCAAAAATTGCAGACAAACGTTTTCAATATTTTTTTATGTATTTTATTTTTTAAACATAATTTTAATTTATTTGAGGAAAAGTGCGATATTATAAAAAGTTATACAAATTATACAATAAAATAAATGTACCCCTATATGAAAAATATTAACAATCAGGTTTCTATTGTAATAGTTTGCACTATAATAAGAATATTTTTAATTAATGTATTATATATAAAAATTACTTTATCTTTATATTTTAAAATTACATATTGAAACGTTCGTCAGTAATTTAAACTTCGGAATAATATAACGAGCGAACGATAGCAAGGGAATTTGTATAGTGCTGCACATGGAGGAAAAGGGACACAGTAAACATATGCATAAGATTGCACTTACGATTCGGAAAGTTCGGCCTTTTCCTCGGCGCGCTCGAGATCCTGTTCCATCAAGACTAGTTTCCTGGCGACCTGTGATCAACAGCCACACGTGTCATGCGCAAAAGCAAAGGTGATGGAAGTGGTCATAAAATAGTAATATAAAAACAAAAAAAAATTAGGTGTTAGCATGCAGAGACGCATCAAAATTCGATGTTTCCAGGCTGCCAGGGTTCCTTTCGGCTGCTAAAAGATTAGTGCGAGTGCACTATGTCACAATGTTAATTACAATTATGCGTGGGATTCGCATCTACGTCCATAGGTAACTTTTTGAGGAAATTATTTTAAAACTCGAATTATATTAGGTAATACAATAAATTATTTTGAATGTTTTCAATACTGTAGGTCTATTAAAAGATTGATAAGATCAAAAAATAGATATGACAATGTAATTTTGACTTATTTTCCTTAGACGCAGATGGTGTAGAAAAGCCATTATTACTATTATCGAGATATTATTTAGTGTAGGCTTCTATGAAACGGTACTATTTGATAATTAGATTAATGTTTCGTAATTCTGGCTTTCCATGACGAAAACAAAATCTAAACTAATACACAACATTTTTTAATGATAAAATACGATCACAAAAAATAAAATTGTTATCGTGCAAAATGAGCACGGGCGTGCACATTAAAGGGTATTTCCGCCTTCTTCGTCGTCGTCGACGAACATGTTGCTAACGGTGCTGTCAAAAGTTACAGGAGCGAGCCGAAGCGGATCCGATGATGCGTGATGGAAAGAAAGGGGCGGCTGGGTGAGATGAGAGGAGAAAAATGCCACAGGATCGTTCGCACTTCGGGCAAAAGGTGCCGGACGAAAGATGCCTAATAAAAACGATGCTTACGACTCTCCGGCCTCAGCACGCTCCTCGGCGCGTTCTAGATCGGCCTCAACCATGGCCAATTTACGAGCGACCTGTATAAATGACACACACACGGTTTCTAACATGTGTTGTTTTCTACCTCCTCCTCCTTCTCTTTCTCCTCTCGGCGACCTCGCCGCCTCTGAAAATTCTGGAGGCGGCGGGATGGCGAGACATCGGCGTCTTGTCGCCGCCGTTGTCGTCGTCGTCATCGCCGTCGTAGCCGTGATTGGAAGAATTATGATCTTCACGGAAATTCTCTCTCCTTATGTGTTCAAAGTTTGCTGACGAGCTCGCGGAGGCGATGGAATTTATATTTAACCCGCGAATATGCAAAGCTATATCGCCTCACGAGAAAAAGAAATAAGCATCTTCGGTCAAAAGTATTTTTAATATCGGCGAATCGAGAAAATTTATCGTATTAATGCAACATTTTATATAATTTAATACATATCTACTTTGCATTTTAAAGATATCCCCGAATTTATACTCAAATTAAAACACGTCGTTAACGACAGACTAAACTGTTGCATTAACACCAATTTTCTCCGAGCAATCTTCCTGAACGCTCACAAATGGGTAGCTTCTTCCAATCGGCTACGCCGTCGAAAAACAAACGATCAGAGAGATAGCAGCACGCAAGTCGTGTCACGCAAATTACAGCTCAGTCCTGACGAACGAGTCCTGATGGACTCGTAAGCGCATGTAAGACAGCAATATATGGTCACGCCAGGGAGAAAGATCGTCGTAAAGTAGAACTTTTAACGCCTTTTAACTGTGATTGCATTGAGAAAAATATCTGATTCGATAAATTGAAATCCTGGTTAAAAACGGACGAGTTAAAATTTTCTGATTAAATCTACTAGAATTCTATCGAAACTCTGATTATTAATACAATCAGAGTCTTCTGTAGTTCGTCCATTTTCAACCAAATTTCTTTCTCAGTGAATATATGTCAATTATGACCCGACTAAGATGCTGTAGTTCTTTCCACGACGATCTTTCATTTCATGCAACACAACTTCCGCACAACTTTGACGCGATCGATCGTAAAATGGTTTTCTCGTTTTAATTGAGAAATTTGATTCCCGTGAGCTTGATTACAAACCTCCGCATTCCTTTGCTCATATCTCTTCACTCATGAAAATTTTCTATTACAGTTAGAACTGCACGAATGATCTCTTTACATGAAATCATTCGTTGTATCTATGCATCTGACTTTTCATAGCATAATTCTGCGAATAACTCGATAAAAAGTAGCATCCATGATTCCGAGATGTTGAAAACAAAGATTTTATTCAGCTCGTTGAGAATAAGCAAAATCAGCGTCTTGTTGATTTTATAATTGTGTATGGCATTTATGAGAAAAAATGTGACGTATAATTTATAATAACTTAGAACTATCCTGAGAAACTTTACCAATTTTATATTTTAATTTTATATCCCAACCATTTTACGATAAAATTGCGACACATTTTTAAGAATAAACGAAGATTGTAAGTCGTCTTATATACGTATATATGAAAAAAAAAGATATGTAACGAAGATCGGCACACTTGGTTGCTGTTAGAACTTGTCATCTCTGTAAGTTTCTGTAATGGGTTAGGCAGTTAGATCGTTAATTAGAAGGTCAAAACAAACGATTGAGTGGAAGCAACTATTCTACTGAAATAAATTGGACGATTTAATTAACATCGCGACAAAATCAATTTTCGCACACCGCGATTAGTTTTTGCACATATTGTTAATTAACGACGATTTAACAGATCGCATAGAACATCATCAGTGGAAAAAACAAAGTGGTTGAAATTACGGTGATAATTTTGAATAAAAATCTAAAAAAATTATAAAAACTGCGACGATAATTTCCAAGGATTGCGAGGATTTTTTAAAAATTAAATAATAAAATATTAATAAAGATAAATAAAATATGCTTAATAACAAAGATAAACCAAATTTTTCACAAATTAATCAATGAGCCTATTTTTTATTCCTGAATTAGAACTATATTTCTCGCGTTAAATATTAAACTTATATCTATCTTTAAATTCCGAAAGAGCGTACACTCTAGTTTAGCCACAGAAAATAGACCTCATGTTGCAAATGTATATTCACAGAAAGTTTATATAAAAATGTATAACATTATATCAATGGTTCACAACCGCAAATAATAATTTGTAATATTACACGTATCATGTAGACGACCAGAAAAAGATTTCGAGCGATATCTTATCCTGATAATTGATACTGTAATCTCTGAGCGGACAAATAGCAAAGTGCACACCGTAATTTCAACGCTATCGCGGCAAACACCTACCATCACAACTCTCGTTATTCTGGCGCATCACATTCCGAATTCCAGCAAAGCAAAACGCGCTCGTCTTACCGAAAGACAAGCTTGATAAAAGCAGCACCATTATAATCGTTGACGCGCGGAGAGCCGCGGTAAAGTCGCGCGGTCTCACGCGGCGTTATCACAAACACAATTGACGATATTCTTGTTAAATCTAATAACGAGGCCGGTCTCGCGGGGAAGCGAGCGACAAACCGAGCACCAATCGAGCACGCGGTCCAAAACTTCCACGACGACTTTTAATACCCGCTGAAGAGATCGAATTATAAACACGCGCGCGTACGAACTTTTCCGAACTTTGTGCGTGGCCGTCTCTAATCTAAGTATCTAATAACAGGAATATTATATTTGTAACAATGTATAACAAGATTAAATTCTGTTTATGAAACTGGCACTTGAGACATCTTGTAGCTTTTGTCGAAACGAAAAAAAAAAAAACACTTTGAAATCACAGATACCCGATTTTACGCGAGTCGCGCTCGTAAAACACGTGAACACTCGATATATCATCACTTTTTCTTTCCCTCTTTCTCTCTCTTTCTGCGTTTCTTCCCGCATGAGACTCTCTCCTACAGAGATCTCTAAAATTCTCTCTATGCTAACAGCAAGATGAAAAGAACGATCTTTAGAACACTGCACTTGTCGCGACACGCAATACTTTTCTAAAAGACGAAAAAAAAACTGCCACTTTTATTCGGCCCAGATCGCGATCACAGATCGACGATTCATGATTTACCCTTCACTGCGCGAAGGGATTCTTCGCTTTGCAACGCGTAAAAATCATCTCATTTTTCTAACGTAGTCGAAACCTCGATGAACCAACCGATGATTTTAGTGAACGGAATATATGCCTCGTGCGAGGCACTTTCTCTTTATTCGCGACGGAGACTTATCGAAACACGGTGTTTTCGAGCACACAAAGAGAAGACAGAGAGTTACGGGGTTAGGCACTATTTTGACTATCGACTAGGAACCATCATCGTCATGATTATCATCGTCACTGCATCCAACACGCTTGACAGTGGTAGTCGCGGGTGCGCGAACCTCATCGTATTTCTTGTCGGCTTCCTCGGCGAGGAACCTGGCTTCCTTCAGCTGATTCTCGAGGGCATCCATGCGCTCTTCATCCGCCAAGCTGCGATTCTCGAGAATCTTGCGGGCGCTTTAAGGTGGACACATGTCGAACGAAAGAATTCACGGTTAAAATATCGATTAGACAAACGGACTAAGTTAAGAAATAGGTTTCTGATCGTCGAGAAACACCTCTGCTCAGCTCAGCTCATAATGATACGTCTACCTGTGAAATTTACCTGGAAAATAATCCCGGAGGAGAACTACCGACCGACCTGGACGATCCTTTTATACGAGATATTAATGTATCGAAAGTAAAATTCTACTTCCTCAGAAGTTAATTCGCTATTTCTTCCGTGAAAATTCTAGCAAATATTTTTTCATTTATAAACTAATGTCATCGCCTTAATGTCCTAAACGGTTGGTAGTTCGTCTCTGACAAAAACAAAAATAGAGGGTCCTTTTGCCCTCATTTTTTCACTTTTTGTTCGCTGATGACCCACCTCCTCGTATTTCTTATCCGCCTCTTCTGCGATCAGTTTAGCCTGTGCTAGTTGCTGCTCCAACAAGGATACTCGGTCGTCCTCCATGTTAGTGCGGTTTTCAAGGGCCTTGCGTATCCTAATGATCGATCGTTTATCGATTTTTAGAAATGAGTTAATCGTCGTTGAAAGAATGATCAGCATTGTACATAAAATAACTTTTCTCGATTAAAAAATTTTTTAAGAGTAAATAAAGTAATATAAATATACATAAAGTTCAATATATAATTTTTTTCAATTAATTTTGTTACGTTTGTGTATCGATATAGGTTTTTACGGTTTGCATAAAGATAATGTCTTTAAATTTCTTTTTTATAATGTAATTATGATAATAATGTCGTGTAGCAGATCAAGAAATTGGAGAAGTGTGGATTTGACAATTTTTCTCTTGTAAGTACGTGAGAAAATATATCATAGCAAAATGAAATGAAGCATATACACGTCATTCGTTATCAACGACGATAAGCAAGCTTAGCATTATTTTAAGCATTTACGTACTACAGTAAAGAAATCATAATCAGCAATTAGAGCATTTCAAAGTTATGACGAGTCAAGTTATACGACTTTAATAACTATCCTTTGTTCAATGTTTAATGCATTTTATCATGTTTTATATATATATAAATCAAACAGATCAATAAAAAAATATTGCGTTTAAAATTTTTGCAACATCGTTATGAATTAGTTATCTTTTAAATAATGCATAACTAGTATAAGAGAGAACGGGTATTCAGAAATGATTTTCAATTGCAAATTAAGTCAGAAAGCGTTTGTGTAAATCTTTGTCGCGGCGGATGCGATATATAACCATAAAAAGTAGGTCAGGATGTGGTGTTTCAAACTCTGCAAACTTTTATTTCAATTCTATTTGACAGACACTTTCAAGCATATGAAACAAAAAGAAAATATTACGAACTATCCTTTCCATTATTTATATATACTATTTTTTTAAATGACGTAATCGTAACAGTTCATTAGGGTTGTTTACATCATCATAACTTTGCAGCGAGATTACAAAACCACTTATACACATATATCTATAACGGAGAACGAAATTGGTATAATGATTACGCGAATTTCTGTACTTATCATAACTATATATGTGTAACTGGAATATTAAAGAGTTGTTGCGTTCGGGTCTATATTTGGCACGATATTAGTCATACAAAATTGCAATGCATTCTATAATTAAATCGCGGGAAAAGGAATCAAGAAGTCTCTTACACATCGATTGTTTCAATGTAAGGCGGTACAAGTCAATGCAAAATGATGTGTGTTGTGGAAACAAAAATTATTTTTTTTTTTTTTATATTAAACTTATTCAAAATTATTATATAAAACTCTATATTAATATTTATTATTATATTACGTTATATAATATATATGTGCAAATAAAATACAGACAATTAATTTATAACAAAAATGGCATAAATTATGCAAAGTAGCTTTTGAAATATCTGTTGAAATAAATGTTCAAATATTTACATTTTTAAAAATATTTTTATATCAAAAAATACCTAATTATGAAGAATTTTCATGTTTCATAAACATGTATAATAATAAAGATTTTATAGCATTTATTTTATAAAATAATAAGATAAAATCGGAACATTAATTTACACCACTTTTGCACGTATAATTTTCTGATAATTTAGAATGATTTGTATATAATAATAAAAATGATCAAGAGTAAAACATAATAAATCTCGGTTCTTTTATAAATATATTCTATAATTATACATTATTAAATACTAACATCCATCATCGTTGGTAGCTTGATAACAAATTTTGATATAAAAATCACATCAACGTCTAATCATACAATAATTATTTACATTACTCTTGATCATTATAAAAAAGATAAAAGAAATAGTAGCAATGAACAGCTATTTTTTTACACTCATACATTCTTATTATTATTAAATCATAACAATTATAAAATAATCATCGAAATATATTTATTTTTATATTTAATAATTAATTTTGAACATTAATATATTAATATATAATATTTTTCTATTTTAATATTTTCTATCGTATTTTTTACTTTGATATAATAACTGCTTATTGCCGATAATATACACAGAATTACTACAAATAAAAAAATTCGCAATAATTTTGTTGCATATATATAATAACAAACACTTACCGTTCACTCTCATCGGCAGCTTGCGATGCCTCCGCCAGTTTGGCAGTGGCAGTGGCAAGACGCTCCTCGGATCTCTCAAGGTCCTCCTCCAACAGTTGAATACGACGATTCAAAGCGGCGACTTCAGACTCAGCCTATAACATACAAGAAAATCCATTCCAGGTAAAATAAAAGCTAAAAAATTTGCAATTCTTAATTTTACATAGTTTAGCTATTATATTGTTTAGAATCATATTGTTAACCAGTAACGTGAGGTAATGTAATGAAGAAATAATGCAATGCAAGATACATTGTACACATCTTTATACACGAGCTTTATGACACTGCGAATAATTAAAGAAAAGTAGAAGCAAAAGATATAATTTAATCAAAAAAAAAAAAAGGTTAAAATCTAAGTGGACATATGTAAACAAACTTTATTAAATTAAGAACAATAAAAAAACACTACACAATCGTAAATAATTTGACAATCTACTAAATGCTGTTATTTAACAGCATTTATAATTTGGTTACACTTGAATTATTTGATAAATGATACACTCTCTTATTGTACATATGAAAAAATAGTAATTGTTTTAAATCTGGAATTGAGGCGCGACGTTATAACTAGGTCGATACTGGATTAGGGATGATCTGAATCCAATCAAATGCCGTAACGTGCCAAACGTGATCAGAGTTTTGTCACAACAAAGCACTCGACTAGAGATCGTAAGGATCTCTGCGTGCATACCAATGACCCCAAGGCGGTTCCGTGTGTTGCATTAAGCGTTGAATCGAACGGATCATTATTATTGATTTCGGCCAAACATTTGACCCGTAAATCATGTTGCCTCATCGTCCACCGAATGATGTCAGGGTATCATTCGTATAATAAATGTTTTTAAATTAGTCAGATTAGCGATTTACGAACATGGATTAGTTTTCGATGTAATCGATAACGTTCGTGAAGTTGTAGCAATATTTCAAGCAGTAACTAATCTAGACAAATTTTAGACAGAATGCTTACTATCAGAAACATAATTAGCAAAAATTTTATCATCAAAATAGTTAAGTGCTAATTTTAATATAAGTCATCATTTATTACATTTGTTAATTTTACGAAGAAAAAAATAATTGCATTTATTATTAATAAAATGATATCTTTATGTTTTTAATCATTAAAAACCTCTATTAAAAAAAATGTTTATTTCTATTTTAAAATTAAAACGAAAGAATTAATATATCTTAATTAATCATGGATCCTAAATGAGGTACTAATTTCGCAATTATTGTTGAAAATATTATAATAATTTGTAACCCTATTGACGGACTTGTATGAGGCTAAGCGAAGCGTGCGATTTTCACGAATGTAAATTACTTAACGGTCGATTACACATATATCCGCGTACACAATTCGAGGCCCTTGTCCTCGTTAGCTGCACCTGCCAACGATTGTGCGTCTAGTAAATGACCCTAATTTATCCCGTACGTAGGGAACGTATCGTTTTTTTACAAACGTTCCTTCATTAGCGGTGCGTGAACTTGGTATTCATGGATTTCGGCACTCCTATGTCGGTTTTACACGGGGATAATGTCAGCGGACTGACAGCAACGATTGCACAATTATCCAGACATAATCGTAATAACACAAACCGCGCTATTACATTATTCGATTATCGCTAATACTGCTGTCATCATAATTATACCCACATCTTTTTATTATTTCTATTAAAAACGAAAGATAGTGAATGTCTGGATTTTGTCATAATAATATTTGAGGTATCGAGGGAATATAAAACTACTCCTAGATGTTCAATATTATTGTACAATTATTTTATACAATATTATTGAAGCTTCCTTAAAGCAATTAAAAATAAACAGTCTGAAGTCCCAATGCAATGCACTTCCAGACGAATAAATATCAAATATTGTACAATATTAATCGATTAAGGCCGCTTAACAGACATAATGTATCGCAGTTACAAAATAAAATCAAAATGGATACATAATCAAGTATTAAATAAATATAAATCTGTATACATGTAATATAAAGTTGTATTTTTTTTTTATTTATGAAATTGTTTAATACTTTTTGGAATAATGGCTTCGCGGAAATATCGTGTCATGTGACACCGCGTGTCCGTGTATAAACATTTATATTTGTTCCACAGCTTCGCTTGTTACTGTCAAACTTCCGCAACAAATTAATGTGAGTTCAACGATTGTGAAAACTGGTTGGCGTCGCCATGCACGCGCTGTTCCACGATGATGCTTGCACGCTCAGCGGTGCGTGCATGTAACGTTACACACGCTTTTGCATTACCTTACCGACGCGAACCTTGTATTCGTAGGAAATCGGCACGCCCACTCGCACTTGTGCCGAGTGGACAGGTCGTATCACATAGACGATATCCATGGCAAGTGTTAGTAAGTGTGCCAAACTTCCGCTTCGTCCGACCCTTTCTCGTAGCCTTCCATCACGATCCATTTAATTCGTCCTGCAGTCCGACCGACGTCGGGCAACGATTACAGGGATTGGTGATAATTTAGTAAATCGAGTACATTTTCAGATTTCCGATCCAGGAGTTCATAGGCACTGATATATTATCAATACAAAGATAAGATTTTATAGGAAGATCACAATTTTGTTTGTAAGATAATAATGATTTATTTAATAAATATAGGAGAATATCTATGGAATTATATGTATATCACTTTTGTGTGTGATAATTTTATTGGACTGTATAGATACGTATACAAGTTGTAAATATAAAAAGTCTTTCATTATACCTTTCTTCCTAGAATAATTTTGCGTTTATCTATTGATGAATTGTGTTGGACATAGATAAGATCTTAATATAAAATTTTCATTAAGGAAATTATTCCATATTTATCTTTCTGAGATGCAAACGTAATCAAAGTGATCTTTCTTGAAGAGAACCGTGGTTGCATCGTTTTGCATCACTCGTGCGGTATTAATGACATACGTAAGTATGTCGCAACGGCCATTCGTTTGTAAATAAATTCGCTCAAGGTGAGTGGAAGACATCGACATTCTGTTATGTAAATTTCTTGGCAATAAAGACACAATTACTCCAAATCCCCCGAGACATCACGTCTGATCAGCCAAATTGATGCGCGAGATAAATTAATGAAACTTGCTTTATCGCGCCCTCACATCCTCCCGCCTGAACGACGATAAGCTCATAATTGAATCAACTTGCAAAACAGCGCACCGCTTATTATCATCATCGCAACGGAATCGAGGAAGGAAAGAAGGAGGAAAAGAACAGAAAAATTGCGTTGTGGCAGCAATGCACTTCGTTGCTTCGTGACAAAAGCGGATTAGTGCGGCCTGACCGAGTCCGTCGCCGTTGGCCTTTAAAACGCATTGCGTGCGGATGCACTTTGTCGCGAATACGCATTGAAGTCTTGTGGATTTTCATCACTGCGCCGGAAAATGCAGCGTCCGCGTTATATGTTATATCACCCTGAGCGGAAATGCAGTCTTGCAGTTCAAAAGGATTACAAAATTAATCATGTTACATATCAAGTGTAATTTTATCTTCCAAAATTATATTTTTTTTATAGTTAAATATTCTCTCTAAAACTTTTAAAATGAATTGTCACTCTGAAGAGTAAATAATCTCACTTTTAAAGATTGAATATTTTTCTTCAAAATTGGCTCCATTTTCACTCTCTGAGAAAATGAGATTTCACTACAAAGAATTTAGAGAATTTATTGGACCACAAAAATAAAATTTTTAATAAGAGAACTTTATTAAAGATTATTATTTACTATTTGTCTTTCTAGCGTGTAATAAATGTAACGTATATCTTTCTAGGATATAATTTTATGCTGCAATAAATTTTCATATCTGATACGGAAATGAAAATACTTGATTGCAAAACGATGATGTGGACTAATGCCCGTTTCTACCAATGTAATTTACTTTTAATCTCAGTTCAACGAACTCTTTATATTTTTTTTAGTGATAAGAATTAGAAAAAGATAAGATGAATGAGAGAACTATAAGAATGTCTGACAGGTAAAATTGTTAACTTCTTGGCCGACTCATACAATGTAATAAAATATAACGAACGATCTAATTTTTATGCAATTAATGAATCTGTAATACCTGAGTTTATTCATGTTTCCAATTACGATACTAATGCCTGCCATTGCATTTTCTACGACAGGATATTGAAACGGTTGGAAGGCTTCTTCGATACGGTCTGACAGTAAAACAAATGTATCTACATTCTACACGCGACAGAAACGATGTATCCGGTATTTCATGCAAATATTTGTAAAGGTTGCTTTTAACGCAAATAACATTTCAACCGAATGTCAAACATCGATAATATAATGAAAAAAAAGGTATAACTGAGATATTCAATATCTCTACTTCAAATTGTTATTATTAAATGTTAATGAAATAAAACGTTCATTAAAATAATTCTCAAAAAAGATGTCTTCTGTAAATTAATTTAAAAACGGTTTTGTGAGTATTTTATAATATTGATTTAAGGCAAAAGCGTAATACGTCGATTTTACGTATCACGTTATATTTTCATGATTCACTACATTTCACGGTAGAGCGCTGAATTTACATATAACTGTGTGTCATTGTACCCAAACCGACAATTGCACAACTTTGGGCTGTCGGTCGTTCGATCCGTTATGTTATAATTTTAGAAAGTCACAATAATCTCAAATATTAAATAATATTCGAAAAAACATTTAATAAAGAACTCTGTGTTTAGTTATAAAATAGTAATTGTTAAATTTACAAATTATACAACTAAAAGACAATTTAAAATGTCCTTTTTGTCTACATTCTTTAATAGTCAAAAATCTCTAATACGAGTAGCCGGAAAACGTTTTCGTTACGCTTCCTAATTTAAATATTTCAATCACGCAAGCCCCCCAGTATCCCACAATTTTGTTTCGACATGTCGCACTTGTTGTTAAGAGCAATTTTGCGGATCACCCAATCGTGACTTTGACACTCGACGACCGGTGTTCGTGCACCTTAGCGGCGAAGAATGCGCGTTACATCGCCGTTTGCCAGCGAAAAAGGAACGAGAAACGGTCAAGATTATGGTGTAAATCCGTTAAATCGAGGCTGTTGAACGCTCACCGAGAGGCTTG